ATCATAATTCCCAGACCTTTCGATTATACGTGACCGCGTTGCCATCCTGCGCGAAGTGGCGCCTTTACCTGCCTCTATCTGGAACTACGTGCATAATTGCATGTGCATTTACATGGCCATGGTGCACACGAGCGCGGGTTTGTCGCCGCGGCGGCGGTACAAAGAACGCCGATGCCCGGAAGAAAAGCCGATACGTCGCACCGCGCCGTCGCGGTTCGTATATGTATATCAGGAGCGTGGTGTGCGACAACAGCAATATAGGAAAAAAAAAAAAAAAAAAAAAAAATAAGGAAAAGAAAAATACAAGCGAAAGAAATCGATCGTCTCCGTGGCCGCTGCACGCATGACCATTAACCTACATCGTATCACGATGCACGTATCGATAAAAAACCGCAAAACGACGATATTACGTTTGGATATTCCGTGTCCCGATAAGAATTATTCCGTGAATTCGCGCGATTGCACGCTAGGAAGCACGCGGCCCGCGTGTGCCCTAGCGTGGCTATATCTGACATTCGAATCGAGACGGATTGGCAACAGCCGCGGAATAAAAACGAGGCTCCGGTCGGTGGTGCACGTCGCGTTCGGTTACGAGATCTGAATGTCTGTTACGCGTGCCGGGTGAAAGTGCGGTACGTCCGTTTGTTTCCATTTGTACTTTAATCACGGTTAGTCAGTCGATGTCGATTAATTCTAGATTTATGCCCTGCGAGTTTATTGGATTTGGATTTATCACGAGACTATTTTCATAAAGCTTTTACAAATATTAATCTAGATATTAATAGACCATTTATATTTTAATTTGCTTTTGTTATACGTTATGGTTTATGTCGTTATTGCAAAATATTTGAGGAACATTAGTAAAATGTTGATACGAATTTATATCTATTGTCCGACAATAGATGCGTTGCTGTTTGTAAAATATTGGAATTATTGTTACAAAAATTATTATCGATCGTTAGAGGCTATTAATGTGAATTTATTTATGCTAAATTTATGCTAAATATCATTTGCTGCTAACTTTTCTTCTCTCGCAAGCAATCTCTGTTTCGTGATCGCACACGTTCTGGCGAGGGGGATCCAATTTTATTCTTTCGGCTGCATGAATATTCGAAGGACGTGGCGCGGAAGTAAACGGCAGCGAGTAACGAATCTCCGCGTTAACGATTGGGCATTTCTATTTCTCACATCAGTAGAATCGACACCTTCGATTGCAGCTGGTGCAATCACGCGATGCATTATGAAGCGCAGTAGGTTCGCCTTCGGCGATCGTTAGCGCGGATTGATCCGCGCGTTTTCGCGTCGCGACGCTCCGGCGTCCTCGTTGCTCCGTTAATTCCGTATAAACCGATGAAATCGATGCCGTCTACCGAATAAATTAACGGCTACGCGCGCGCAGATAAAAGGGCGTGTGTATATTGAGAAACGCAACGTGCGATGCAAATAAGAGAGAAAGAGAACGTAAACAAGCTCTGGTAATCTTAGTCGGAGGAAGATATTTCCTGTAATAATTGCAACATTATATCGATAGAAGAGCATCTCTTTGCATTTATTGCATAAAGGTTATGATATAAAATTCCAAGTAAGATTATAAATTGCTGCAGATAAGCAAAATAATGTTTTTCTTAATAATTGATTTGCATTCTAAAAACTTGTTAACAGTTCATTTGGTAAAAGAGCGATGGATTATTGAATATAATTGTATTATATTGCACTTTTATATTTCTATCTTTAAGATAGAATTATTAAATGATGATATCCGATATTATCATATCTACTAAGAAAGAAGATATTCTTACAAATCAAATTTTTAGGATGCAAATAGGAAATTTCTTTATTTAGTTTTAAATATTGATTTCAACAGAATCTTATTTCAACAGATTTTTAATTAAATTTAATATTGTAGATTAAAATTAATTGTTAAACAATGATATTTATCCCTCCATAAAAACTTTTGTCAGAATTAAACGAGAAATTCATTTTATACAGTGATCGCAGATTACTTTATATGTTCATCGCATTACTTATTACGAATGATGTGACAAACGTTTTCAGATAGGGACAATAATGCGAATGGTAGAAACGCGTTGGCAATTCTAAGCTCGTTCGCCGGCGAACTAATGGCGGCGTGGAAGCGCTACCATAATGAACGTCCGCCGGGAGAGAGAGAGAGATGCTAATCGTGGACGCGATGAGCGAAACGCTTCTTGTTGTATTCTTCTTTCTCATTTCAGCCGGTGGGATTCGTGACTTTTCACACGAGGGCAGGCGCGGAGGCGGCAAAGCAGGATCTGCAGGTAATAGCCCTTTTCTCACAGACATCGCGAGGCAAGGAAAAATTGGGGGAAAAGGTGGTAGACTCTCGCAGGAGTCTCAGGGTTGACGCGCGGTTGATATAGTATACATACACAGTGACACTCACTCGTACATATATGCCCGGCAGTCTTTTTTTTTTACGATTCCACCCTGCCTTAGATTCTCCAGCTGGCACGGGTTAATGCTACCTCTAGCTCTTACCTCCATTAGTTACTACATCCACGAGACCTCTCTATCTGACTATTCATTTCTCTCTACCGTAGCTTTTCTCTCTATCTTTCTCTCTTTCTTTCATTGGGACCAAATGTAGTATTACCTTTTGTTTACCTGTATACGTACCAAGGCGTATTGTAATAACGCTGCACCGTGTGGCATTATCGATATATCTATATATGGTGTTGTTTGCCTTCCGACAAGTATCATCCCGTTGCATATACATATATTTAAATATATTCAAAAAATATATATATTCTCCGTAACAGTAACAAGAAAAGACGCAAGTGCTTGATATTAATAAATCACATTCTTTTTAAAAGATAAATTTTTATAAAAGAAACACAATTGCATTAAAAATTTTATGTTATAAAATTGATAATATCTAATATCTAATATTTTGAATTTCTAAGTTCTAAATCTTTGTGCACCTTGCATTTTTTCTACAGTTTTAAAAATTATGGTTTAAAAATTTATGGGTTTAAAAATTTTCGAAAAAAATCACAGACAACATTGCATTTAATTGTATCAAGCTAAGAAACAATTTTTTTATGCATGACAACTGTGAATACACATATTGATCATCATACGAATATATTTATATGTAACGCGTATATATGTATCTGTAAATACATATATCTGCGGGGTGAGCAACGTTGATTTAAAAATATAGCTCGTCACGCAACATTTAGCATATATATAATTCGGGCGCAGAGTAGCTTTACAGCTTTTGTTGCACGACGGCAATCAGATCGAGTTCTCTGGTTAAGTTGGTCACCCCGTATAGCTCTACCATACCGTTGTAACTGACCTCACGCAATCTGCAATGTTATATAACCCAAGTACAGCAACGGTATATTACTACGTACGAACGTATGTATCGCGTAGAGAAACATCCTTTTGTCGGATGGACACGTTCGCTGGAAACACCCTAGAACGGACTAACGAGCCCACCTTATGAATACACGTACAAGAAGAGAAACACACACACACACACACACACACACACACACACACACACACACACACACACACACACACACACACTACTACTACACTATACACGAATACACATACACACGCCCTTGTGCTAATTTCCCTTCTACCTGGCATAATCCCATGTTATTATTATACCTACATTACTTTCGTCGCTAGCCATCTGTGATTCGATCGACCCTTAAGATTTGATTTCGCACGCGCGAAACGTATACTATAGTTTCAATGATGCATTCAGCTTCCGATTTGTTTAATATTCTTTTTTTTATAAAATTTTATGAAGATTTTTTATATACATATAATATTTATTGTGATAAATCCTAAATTTTTAAATAATATTTTTATAATTAAATTTTTTAAGATAAATTTATGACAAAGATATTGTCAGTAAAAAACGAAACAAGATGTAAATATCAATTACAACAAAAATAATAATTATAATAATTGTATAAGTTTAATTATAATTTGTATAAATTATTTTAAACGTTTGCATAAATTTTGTAAAAATGTCATTAAGACTTTTATATAAGTTTATTTGCAAAAATTTAATGAATAATTGAGTAAATAATTAGTAATGTTTTATAAGTTTTTAACAATTAAATTGTAAAAGTATGTAAATACATTTCTACAATTTCACGCTGTCAGTTTTAAAAAGTGAACAGAAATGAACTATTTTGATTGAATATTCGAGTGACGGCGATTTATGGAGTATCGATCAACATTCATATTTTCGTAAACATCAATCTAGCTCACTTTCCTGTTAAATTCACGATATAAAGTAAACAATATGACGGAAATATATTGAAAAAAAATAAACTGCACCAAAACGCAGTTGTCCTCATTAGAGCGTGATCTTATTAATATTTCAATGGATTACTTGTTAATAAAGGTATTCTTATCTGTTAATAAAGATAGAATTATAGAAATTGGATAAGAAATACCATTACGTCAAGATATTTCTTGTATATGTTGTATATATTTATAATATATAAAATAGCATATTTTTTACATTGTGCTATAAATATGAAATCAATTTTGTTGATTTAAAAACTAAAAGATAAAAACTAAATAATTTGTTTATATATAAATTATTTTTAAAAGATCAATTTTAAGAAATTGTGAAAAAAGTGCAATATACTCGGAAAAACTTTTACTAAAAACATACTTTCTTTTCTCGCAAATTAATTGAGATGCTAGTGACGAAAGAAGGGCTCTCACTATCACTCTCTTCTCTCATTTTTTTTTCTCATCTTTGCCTTACTACACTACCACCATCCATCCACGTGTGCTCCCGATTTACTAATTTAGGGAATCTATTTGCAGCAGGGGGTTAGATTCGATCCTGATATGCCACAAACCATACGTTTGGAATTTGCAAAAAGTAACACAAAGGTTAGCAAACCCAAGCAACCAGCCGCTGCAGCAGCCACCTCGCACCCCGCTCTGATGCACCCTTTAACGGGACGTAAGTATGCACCGCCACTCGTTCACTTGCTGGATACGTCTCACTTACTATTTCTCACCCACTGCACCGACTACAAAGTGTCCCACTTCCTGTTGTCACTCGGCTGTTTTTTTTCAAAAGGATTTTTTTTACATACGTACCCTCCCCCGCCCCACCACCAACCCCAGCGACGGGATCTGAGATCTTGTTATCGACAATCGTACGGCAACCGATCGAAGTACGAAAAGATTTCCCGTGGTAATCTTTCGTTATTAATATCGTTTTGCAACGTAAGGTGTATACACGGGATATAGCATAGGTAATACACACGCGATACGCGGTTACAATAGTGTTTACGTTGCGCAAATTATCGCGCTTATTATGGTGTGAGATCGGCGATAATCTATGTTGTATAGATAATCTCCGATTTCCGTGGTGACTACATACTACGAATCACTAATCTGTCTAAAGACAACGCGCTGTTATTTTCTTAGACAACATTGGAACAGTTCTTTGTTCTTGTGACGTGTTGTCTTTATTTAGATTTGTTTATTTATCTGTCTGTCCATCTTCATTATTATTATATTTATTTAAGTTTCCGATTCTTCAACTTTTGTCTAAGGGTTCTAAATTTATTACATTGCGCATATTTTATAAAAATTTTAAATTTGTATATAGATTACAAAATCTTTTAAAAATTAATACTTTTGTGTATATGTTTATTATTTTAATATTTTTATATGTTTTTAAATGTGTTTTTAAATATATTTTTAAATGTGTTTTGTAAACATATTTATCATATACATATAATGTAAAGAGAGAGAGGAATAGCGTTTATATTCGATAAGCGAAATGTTTTATTTCTGTTTAAACTGATCGTTTAATCTTTATTAAAAATCTTTGTTAATTACAATAAAATTAATATTTCTAAGCTATTTGATTTGATTAAAATATAATAGTCATTCTTTACGAAATCGATATTTTATTAATAAGTTTTTAAAAAAATATCTGCGTACTTCCATAGTTGTTGAACGATTATATCTAATACGTGTGGGTATGTTCTTTTGAGGATTCTGGAAATAAATTTTGTCGCATATTCTTATGTATACGTTATGTACAATAAGAACTATTACATATTAAGAATATTTTAAAAATTATTCGTCCATGTGCATTGTGCGGTGCAAATGGATGGAATTATATAAATTAAACATCATTTGAAATTACATAATTACATATTTTTTTGAAAAAGTTTTTTTATTTATGAAAAATATCTCTCAAATAAAATAAAATTTAATTTGTAAATATAATAAAATTTTTATTTATAATTAGTTATTGTAAATAAAAAGTTTGTGGTCGAAGAATTAAAAATTGCAAGGAAAGTATAAAAATTATAAACCCATCATTTCATAATTGATTCACGTTCGATTATACGCAAGCGGGATTATTCCAAGCGATTAAAACAGCTTAATAGCGAGTATAATAACGGTATCTGGTTTGCTAAGCACAGAAGACTGAGGAGAGTGGAAAATCTGTAGGTGTATGTTTTATAAAGGTGGACAGAAGGAAGGTGACCAACGAATGGTCAAGCATTATAGATATATTTTATGGATCGATCACAGGTAATGGAACGAGAGGAGCAGAATAAAGTTGAATAAATCTCGAAGGTCTGTACGTTTACGGACTATGTGCGCGTTTTGCGCACGCAATAAATATGTATTTGTGTCACATTGCGGAAACAGACTTGCCGGACGGACATAAAGCGCATCAGTTTCCGAAGAAACGACGACTACGATAAATTTTGCTGTCGCGGACGCTGTCTGATTTTTGTATAGCATATATAAGATCGTCTTTATTTCCATAATATCCGAACGCATCATCCGCCAAGCGGTGATTTATTATCTGTGTCAGTGACGAATGAACTCGACGAACTACAATTATAATGGTCTTTGTAATATAATAAGGTTGAAATATTTAGAAATGTCTGTTATTTTCCCATTTGTTAAAGACATTTTTGGAATAATATTTGTTAAAGTATAAAATTATTATTTAAATATATTAATAAACAATAATGTTTGCTTCTTTTAAAACTTGTTTTTAATTATAAAAAAAACTGAGTTAATTATATTATTAAAAAATTTTAAGTTTATATTATTTATTATTTACTATCATCAATTTATCAGTCGTAATATAATCCTTTCTTAATGAAATAATTTGTGACTTTTTTGAATTCTTTTTAGAATGCTCTTTTTTATTAAACTGATTATGAAATTTTTTTAAATATAATAAAGGATTATAAAAAAGTTACATATTGCGATAAGATTATTTGGATAATAATATATAATTGATAATAATATATAATTTTTTGAGCAAAAAAAGAAATTTTGTTAATTTGGAAAAGTTAGTTTGGAAATGTTTTGCGGTTCTTTATGAGTAAAGACGAATCGATTATTTAATTGACTAAAAATTAGTAATACCACCGGTACTATCTTCCTCGATTGGAACTAACCATTAATGGCGTTCTTAATATCGCGCAAATAGACCGTATCCAGCGTTGAGAAATTTCGCAGAATAATTTCGTTTTAGGTGGTAGCAATTTTCTACGATGACCCAATTTCATCGCGCCGCACGCCAAGCCACGTCAATAAGACATAATCGAACTGCTAAATGTACCTTTGACGGGATTACTTACATATGTGAATATTAAAGAAATCGGAGAAATAAAGCTAGTGTAATAATTAATAAGAGTTTATCGATAATTTTGAATAATTTTTAGTCAAGTAAATGACCGATTTGTTTTCTCATAAAATTATATATGATATTATTTATGAAAAGTTTAACTAAATTACAAATTAAAAATATTTGTTTTAATTTATGAAAAATTATTATAAGATAATTAAGATAATAAATGTTAAAATTTATATGACATATTATACGTAGAATTATATGTATTTTACTGCTACGAAATAATGAATAAGTGATAACTTTTTTAATGAATATGGAGTTGATCCTTTTTTTAAAATTGATTGAAAATTTAATAAAAAATTTAATTGCGAAGACATTTAACATTAAAAATAGGAGAATATTGATTTCTACTCTTTTAGAATATATGGACAGTATACGTTGCTGAGAAATATAAAAGTTATATATACATGCTTTCTAGGTTGATAGATTTCGAAATTCGTTGTTGCCAACGCTTTCCAAACTCTTAGAGTTATATTCGTCGAAACTTCTCTCGTTCTCTCGTTTATGTTTCGAGAAACAAGGCCTCGGCTTTGAGTTTATCTAAAGTAATTCGTTGCTTCCAAATCAAATTTAAATGTAAACAGTATCCTGAGATGAATTTACATAGTAGCATGCCAATAAAGTAATCCTTAAGGCAAAAAATATGGCTTGCTTTTGAAAAGATTGATACGAATTACTTGTAAAAATGTAATTTTGATATAGATTACATTTTTTTGCGCGTAATTATTTTAATATAATAAAATTATTAAAAAATATAGAGACTAGAAATTCTCTTTAGATGAATAGAAAATATATAAAATTCTCATTAGATATATAGAAAATATATAATAAAAGCATTTTATATTACTACTTTCACAAATGTTTTATTTCTTAAAATATGTAGAAAATATTGTTTTGATCAACATGCGCATAGTACAACTGTAACTTGGCACAGATTTCATAATGGCTTTAGTTACCATTCACTTTGCGCGGAATGCTCGTATTGATAATAAAATATGACTCATACAGGAAGTTTCTGCACTTTGATCATGTAAAAGCGAGAGAGAAAAATACAAACGCATGCCAGCTCTTTCTTGTAATCTTCAACTCTGTTTACGTGAACATTTTCTATCTAATCAAATATGATTTTATAGTAATTGCTATTATAAATTGTATTTCATTTATAAAAAGAGCTAGAATTACATATATATATATATATATATATTTCATCATATATATACATATGTATTATAATATTTTTAAATTGATACTTTTTAAGTACAATTTACTTTTTAAGTACAATTTATAAATTAGAAAATATAATTAATAACAAATATATAATCTTTAATTAATCTTGAATAGATTTTACCTCGGAGAAATTTGAATTTAAAACTTACTTTTAAATAACCATATAGTAGTAAAGTTTATGATATACAATAAACAATATTTATCTTTGATTACTTTCGTTGAGGAAAAATTGGCTTCAAAAAGATTGAACAGTATTAAAGTATAATATGATAAAAGTATTGGAAACTTTGTAAAGATTTTCCGCCGGCGCTGTGTATCGCCAAAGTTTAGACAAATTTTTAGTTGAGAGACACTGGCTTTTTACATATCGGAAGTTATGGGAGGTGCGCGCAAACTCAATAAAATTTAAGATCGCCATCTAAACTGTTTGCTGGTGAATTGTAGAGGAGAATAGTCGTAAGAAATAATCAGATCAAATTGTATCTGCGCGACCGCCAATGGTCGTTAATATTCAACGTTTTGCCAGCCGTAGGAACAGCTTCCGTATTTTTCTGCATAAAATGCAATGCTAATTAAATTATTATGACACAGAACAAAGTATGATACAGAACAGAATATTCTTAAGAATACTAATACATATTTTAACGACGATTCTACTAATAGCAAATGATTACGTTTCTAATTTTTTTCTCTCTATTAAAAAAAAATTATTATTATTCTTTATATTGAATCACTATTGCATTATTTTATATTGCTTGTTAATTTTAATATTGTTTCTTCCAAAAATTTGCGATTGTATAGAAGTGTGAAATATAAAACGAAATTGACACGATGAATTATTATATGTCGTTAAGAGCCAAGATTCGCGCGACGAGGAGACGCGCACGTTGATTATACTCTCCGAAATTCATGGTCTATTTAATCGAGTTTTCTACATCTGACCGTGCGTGCTCAGACGTATTATGCATTATCTATGCGCGAAGGAATGCAGCCTGCATTTTCTCGCTGGAAAATAGTATGCTGCTGGGTTGGCTTTTCGCACATTGTGCCAA